GCCTCTCCTACGCCCCAGGACACGCTGGGCTCGTGGCAGCGCTGCGTGAGCGCGTGCAAGGCAGCTCTGCAGCAGGGGAGGCGCGTGGTCATCGACAACACAAACCCGGATGCTGCGAGCCGGGCCAGGTACCGGGGTGCCCAGGGAGGCCGCCGGGAGCGGCAGGGGGCCTGGTGACAGCCGCCAGGTTCCCTGCCACTACAGGTACATCCAGTGCGCCAGAGACGCGGGTGTCCCCTGCCGCTGCTTCCTCTTCACAGCCACGCTAGAGCAGGCGCGCCACCCCTCCCGGGTGAGCCGGCCCTCCCGCCAGGCCCCGCCCTCCCGCCAGGCCCCGCCCTCCCGCCAGGCCCCGCCCCGCCCCTGACCCACACCTCGGTCCCACAGTTCCGCGAGCTGAGCGGCTCATCTCACGCGCCCGTGTCCGACGTGGTCATGTTCGGCTACAGGTGAGGCTGACCGGGTGGGGCGCTGGGCAGGCAGGGCCGGGCTCCCGTCCCTCACGGCCCCCTCTGCCTCCAGGAAGCAGTTCGAGGCCCCGGCGCTGGCGGAAGGTTTCTCGGAGATCCTCAAGATCCCGTTCCGGCTGCAGCTGGAGCCGGAACTGGAGCGGCTGTACCGCCAGTTCTCCGAGGGCTGAGCCCCAGCCCCGTCTCCGCGCCACCCCTGCCCCACGCAATAAACGCTGTTTCTGCGAGCGCGGCCTGCATCTTGCCAGGAGGGGCCTCATGGGGTGAGGCTCGGGGCCTGAGCCGGGCAGGCAAAGGGCGGGCTGCCATTTGTTCTTCCGCTCGAGAGCAACAGAAAAGGAGGGCCCGAGCCCGCCTGCCCATCTGCCCCACCCGGGTCGGACCAGATCCATGCGCAGGTCCGGCCCTGCGTCCTCTCCTAACCACCTGGGCCCTGCAGAAGAGATGCTGGCCTCGCTGGGGCTTCCGGCACCAAGGGCCTCCCCACCCCCAGAGCCAGTCGCCGCCACATGCCCCAACCCAGAGCTTGGTTCCATGTGACCATAAGGACAAACTGCCGGGACACAGGCTCCATGACACTGAGCTTGAACCCAGGGGATGATGTGGGCCTGGACCCCCGCTTCCCCGAGCACCTGCCGTGTTCTTACAGCCCAAGGGACACGGGGTACATCACACAACCCCACTCCAGCGCTGGTGAGACAGGCTTCTCACCACCATCCCCTGCTCAGCACAGCGGGGGACCCCAGCTGGGTAACCTGCAGTGCCACACACTAAGCTGCTTCCTTTCCAGCCCTGCCGACGGGGCTCTGGGAGCTGAGGAAACTCTGCCATCCAGCCTCAGGCTCCACCTCCCCGCCAGAGGGGCCCCAGGCACGGCAGCTGGGCAGTGAGCAAAGATGGCAGGCGGGTTTTTAAAAGCCTTTATTGGGGATACAGGTGGGGAACGTCCTTGGAGACCTCAGGACGATGTTCTCCACGGTGCCGGGCAGTTGCGGTCCCCAGAGGCCCCTGCTCAGAAGCATCTGACCTGGGAGTAGGGACACAGTCGGAGGACCACGGGGACCAAAGCACAGGCCCCCACACCTGCACCTAGCAGGGCCCTGGAGAACTGTGGGAAGGGTCCCTCCGGACCCAGACCTGTGGTGCCGCCCCAAGAAGCCCGTTCCCTGCCCATGGGAACTGCAGTGCCTCACTCTCTGGTCATCCCACACCCCTGTCATGTCCAAGGGTCCACCTGCACTTAACAACGGGGTGGCACTCACCAGTCTCTGCTAGGGCTTCGTCTGTGACTCCTGGACCTCTACCCCCCCATCTGCCGAGGAAGCCAGGGAAGGGGTCAGCACGGGGCAAGAGGGGTGGGCCCTGGGGCTCGGGGCAGGCCTCACCCCTCGCTGCTGCTGCTCCTGCTCCAGGTTCCGCTGCAGGACCTGCTGCTGGTTGGCTATGACACGCCGGATGCCGCTGACAAAGTTGCCCTGGTCGTGGGGGATGAGGCCGATGAAGATCTTCTTCTCAGAGGAGTACAGCAGCATGAGCACGCGGACCTCGCATGCGGCCTTGTAGGAGAAGTGCACGCAGCCGGCCTGGTGGGCACAGGAGCGTCACCCGGGGCCTCGTCCCCCGTCCCACAGCCCCACCTGCAGGACGTGGACACAGGCTGAGAGCGACGGTGGCCTAGACCGGCAGGCTCACCAGAGTAGCCCAGGAAGTGGCACCCACTGAGATGGCCACCAGCTCCCACCCCAAGGCCCAAGGCTGGGATGCTGGCCAGCAGCGCAGGCAGGAAGCTCTCGGCACAGCCCCCAGCTCCTGCCAGGGACAAGGAGGTGGTGCTGTCGGAGAAGCACCCGCCCTGCTGGTACTGCTGGCATGAACACAGGTCTCATGGACAGGCCTGGTGCTTGGAGCAATGACAGTGACACTGCTGACCAGGGGCTCCTCAAGATGGGCCTCCCTCCCGCCTTACAGAGGGCAAACTGAGGCCAAGAGGGGGAGGGGCCTGAGACCCCCAGGAGTTGTGTGGGAGAGCTGCACCCCCAGACACCACTCAGGGTGCTGCCTCGCCCAGCGCAAAGGGAAACGTGGCAGCATCGGGGTAGGCGCCTCCCGGTGCAGGGCATGCATCAGGATGCCAGGCACCGAAGGCCAACCCTCCCCATGCGGATGGGGCCCAAGGCCCAGACCCAGGCACTGGGTACTTCTTGGGGGTCGGGGGAGCCTGGATTTGCCCTGGGAGAAAACGGGGCAGGCAGCAGGAGCGAGGCAGTGGGGGACAAGGTACCCTGGGACTCTGCAGCCGCCGTCGCACTGCACCAAGCTCGGCCTGCTTTTCCATCTGCACCCTGGGGTTAGGACAGCCCTGAGCTCGGGAGTCACTGGATGCAGTGCACCCCTGCCCTGGCCACCTGCCTCTCCAGGTGGTCTAGTGCCACAGAAGTGGCGGCTGTCGGCGCCCAGGGCCTGCCCCAGCTACCCAGCACCTCCTGCGCCGCACCACTCACAAAGCCGTTGTCCATGATCCGGCACAGGCTCTTCAGCGTCTCCAGGTCCTTGGTGAAGTGGAATTGCACGAGGCGCGAGTTCCGGAACAGCGGCACCAGCGTGGTCTGCGGGGAGCCAGCCAGCGCCGTGGGCCCCTGGTTCTCCGTTCCTGCCCCCCAGCAGCAGCCTGCAGCAGGCACGGTGCCCCAGCGCCCAGACCACCCTCGCGGACAACTGCCCACCCTCTGCCACTCACCAGCAGCTGCTGCGGGATGAGCTGCATGTACAGCTTCCTCGGCCACTGCTCGGTCCTCCTGGGGAACGGAGGACAGCGTCAGGCAGGAGCCCTGCTGAGGTGTGACCGCCAGCCCCAACCCGGCACTCACAGGATTTCCCCCTGGTTCACGTAGACGTGTGATGGCAGCCACCTCTTGGACCGACTGTTGGGCTCAGGCCTGGGCTTTGGGGGACAGGAAGAGAGGAGACCTCAGGGATGGGGGCACGACAGGCCAGCAACCCACACCGCCAGATCAGTGCCCTATGCTGGTCCCAGGGCCCCAAGCTGCAGCGCTCACCTCCTGCCACTCCATGACTCCGCTCCACGCCAGGAACTTGTTGTTGACGATCTGGACGGGGCCCGAGTGGACACTGCTGGATCCCACTGCCTGTGGGAGGAGCCGCAGGTGGGCCAGGGGCCAGGAGGGACCCTGCCCACTCGCTGCTCCCCCCCTGTGCCCTGCTCCCCAAGATAAGTTCCCCCCAGCACCTCATGCACGTGAAGCCTACACCGGGAGCCCTGTGAGCTGTGCAGGACTCCCCCATCGCCCAGCACGCCCTTCCCCCCCGCAGAGGAAGCACTGCCAAGGGCACAGGTGTGACCAGCACACCGGCTGTGCCCAGGGAGTGCTGCCCAATTCCCAACCGCAGCGCCCCCTGCTGCTCCAGCCTCACCGAGAGCCTGGGGGCACGGGCCCCTGCCACCATGCTGTGCTGCCCCCAGTGAGCGCGGGGCAGGCCGCACCCGAGGGCACACCTGCTTGCGGGTGGTGATGACCTGCCGGATGGCGTTGACGAAGCCACTCTGGTCGTAGGGGATGAGGCCCATGAAGATCTTCTTCTTGGATGAGTAGAGCAGCATGAGCACGCGCACCTCGCAGGGGGAGATGTGGGGGAACAGCATGCAGCCGGCCTGTGGGAGGACCAGTGGTCAGCACCCCAGGGGGCGGGCTCCCCACTCACACAGACCGACTGTCCCACCTGGCACCAAGACCAGGACATACAACCTTCGAGGTCAAGACCGTGCTCCATAGCGCCTGCCTGGCAAGCACAAGGTCATAGGTTCGATTCCTGGTACCAGAAGAAAAACAAAACAAAACAAAAAAAGACCGTGGTCCAGGCTGGTCCGGTGGTGCAAGCCTGCAATCCCAGCACTTGGAAGGCTGAGATAGGTGGATCACTGTGAGTTCCAGACCAGCCTGGACTACAGAGTGAGACTCTTAAATAAAAGCCAAAACATAAAACCAAAAAAACCAGAACAAGACCCTCCCTGCAGAACCTGAGAATCCCACCCGATGCCAGCCCTACCCAGCTCAGGCAAGGCCACGTTTGCCTCCTGTACCTTCGGCCTGATGGCAGTGCGCTGGCCTGGGTAGGACAACAGCGCCTGGGCCAGGCTGTGGTGGGGCGAACAGCTCCCCACCTCCTGCTGTGGGACCCTGGTTTTCCCATCTGTAAAGTGCACTGACAGCAGTGCACACAGTAAGTGCTACATAAATGCTCCCTAAATGAGGCACTGGGGCCTGTTCGATGGGAAGCAGGCAGACAAGACACCCCCAGGCATCTGCACACAGGTGTGTACCTGCCACCCCACTGGCCGCCACCTGACACTGCTCAGTGCTGCCACCCCAACTTCTCGTGCTGGAGCCACCCACTCAGTCTGTCCTAGCCACACTGCACCCTGCAGATGACCCCAGGGGTCACCAGCCCTGGTGTGTCCAGGCCCCGAGGGAGCAGGAGCCACACAGATGTAGGGGTCTTGGCAGGCGCAGTGTCCTTGGACGGGGCAGCTGAATCTGGGAAAAGACCAACTATCCCCAAGGGGACCAGGGACTGGTCACGAACCCAGAGCCAAGTCCCCAGGGCACTGTGGGTCCGTGACTCATCCCATCGCCAGCACCTGCCACCTCCACAGCCCCACCTTTCTCCTCTCGGGGGGCCAGGGCTGCTGCTGAACCACAGCCCAGAAGGGACAACATGGCCCCAAGGCCTGGGCCCCCACTTCCTTGGGGCCACCTTCATGCAAATCCCAAACTCTAACGACTTCCTAGCCCACGCTTATTATGTTTTCACTACTGGCTAAAGTCACTGGTGTCTTTTGTTTTCACATATGTGGTATTAGGGATTGAATCCAGGGCCTTTACACTGAGCTACATTTCTGTATGACAGGGTGTCACTGTCTCACCCAGGCTGGGCTTGAACTTGCAACTCTCCTGCCTCAGCCTCCTACAATGTTGGGTTATATACTTAGAGTCACAGTTTTAACCACTATTCACAAATACTCTGTTCTACCAAGTAAGGCCACTTCACTGATGGGAAAACTGAGCCCTGAACAAGCTATTCTCCCTTCCTCTCACTTGAGTCTTTCCCTGTCCACACTCCTTTAGCAGGGCCCTCCCCAGAGGTCACATGGTCAGTGTGGCTTGGCACAGAGGCAGGGGCCTCAGGGCAGTGTGGCAGGCTGAATGCCTTTCCCCTTGGGCCTGCTGGGAATCCCTCAGATGAATCCTGACTTACAGAACGGACCAAGACACCCACTGTGCACACCAGGCTCCCCAGCCCCAGCCCAACTCACGAAGCCGTTGCCCATGACACGGCAGAGCCCCCTGAGCGAGTCGCAGTCTCTGTTGGTGAAGTGGAACTGTGCCAGCTGGGAGTTGCGGAACAGGGGTCCCAGTGTGGTCTGGGGGAAAGGGGACAGCAGGGTCAATGCAGGGCAAGGGGTGCTGGGGAACTTGGGCCGGGTGGGGGGGCGGGTCTCACCAGCAGCTGCTGCGGGATGAGCTGCATGATCAACTTCTGTGGCCACTGGTCCGTCTCCCTGCCAGAAGGAGCAGGTCAGGGGTGCAGGGGCTGCCACCCGCCACCCCACCATCCAGGGCACTCACAGGTTCTCGCCTTGGTTCACGTAGGCCTGGCATGGCAGGTTCCGCTTCAGCTTCGCCGTGGAGTCAGAGTAGGGTCTGCGCTTCTGTGGGTAGGGAGGGGTGTCACGGGCACAGCCTTGAAGCCAGGGACTGCCCTGGCCCCTGCAGGGACCCCAGCAGACCTGCAAGCCCCGCTCACCTCCTGCCACTCCAGGACGCCACTCCAGGCCAGCAGCTTGTTGCGGAGCCGGTGCTCGCTGACAGCCAGCCCCCCAAGGGACAGCCCAGGCGAGGAGGGTCCAATGGGACCCAGCGCCCCGAAGACCCGGGCACCTTCCTACAGCAGAGGGGGAGGAAACTGAGGGGGGACCTGCAGCGGGGGCTGTGCTCACGCACTCCAGAGGGATGTGCCCATGTTCACAGCCCCTCTGCAAACTCCCTGGGCCCTGTCCAAGCCCCTCCCTCCAGCGGTCCACACCCTCCAGGGTCCTTTTCCTGCACCCCAGGACCCTCCCTCTCTGAAAACACTGTCCCGGCACTGCGACAGCCCGTCCCAATCTATCCACTCCACCTGCGCCCAAGGGCTGGGACGCCTTTGTGGCCTGTCAGGGGGGGCCCCGACATCCTCCGCAGCCTGAGCCATTCCAGACCAACTCAGACCCAACTCAGACGCCAGCGGGGGCAGTTCTCAGCATCGCGCACAAACCAGCCCCAGCAGCGCGGTCTCACACACCAGTGGCCCTGTCCCTCCAACACCAGGATCCTTTGTGGGGCGGCTCACGCACTCAACAGCAAAGTTCAAACGCCACCCGCTCTGGATCCTTGCTGACCCAGAGAGCTGGAGACCAGAGGCGTACCAGGAGGAGGCTCTGGGCTCCAGCAGGCGGCGCGCCTCACCACTGCCCTTTCCCCATGCTGTTCTCTTCCTTTCCTTTTCCTGGCTTACTCGGCTCAAGCTCGCTCTGCAGAGACGCTTTCTCCCTCACTCTTTAGTTTTACTTTTTAAACAAACTTTGCCACTGCTTAAAAAAAGAACAGGACTATCCAGAAGTGGGCGCGAGGAGGTGCAGGGCCCTCATACACCAACACTCAGGCAAAACTCCAGAACAGCAGTACAGATGCTTCTCGCAAGGCACAGCCCAAGCTAGCACGTTAAACCAGAGACATCCCAAAGTAAACAAGGGAAAGCTTCAGGGGAACCTGGAAGCAGGAAATGCATGAAAAAAATCTCAGCAGTGGGTACCTCCAGACAGCAGAAAAACGTACAAGGGTGATTACCTTTAGTCTTTTTACTTTTTTTTTCGGTTTTTCTCTGGTACTGGGAATGAACACATGACCTTGCGCTTGCCAGGCAGGCACTGTGCCGCTGAGCTAAATCCCCAGCCCCCTAACAAATGATTTTTTCTATTTTTTTTTGTTTTTTTTCCAGTACCAGGAATCGAACTCACGACCTTGCACTTGCCAGGCAGGTGCTGTGCTGCTATCTCCCCAGCCCAACCTTTAGTCTTATTCCTAGGGATTATTTCCTTATTTTCTTACAAAGCACACAGGGGTCTTTTGTCCAAGAATAGTAACAAGTAGGAAAATTCTTATTTTGTGAGGCCCAAGAACTAAAACCTGAATAAGCATGCTCTCCACCTGGACTGGGGATCCTATGCGCAAACATCTGTCATGAGCGTAAGTGTGTAGCGCTGGAGGGTGTCCAGACAGGTGCTGAGGCCCAGTTTGCAGCTTGGCATCTGGGCAAATGCACCTAAGGCCACTTGTGCCATCCAAGACACAGACTTACCCTGTGCTTGGACCTGGGCTGCCTGGACTGCAAACGTGTTTTGGGACAGTACACACGCATGGCCACGCGTGTATGCATTTACTGCCGTGCAAATGGGCCGAAATTAAGACCAGGATGCACGGGGTCCAACATAAGCTCCAGTGACAACGATTAAGTTCTGCCTGTCTGGGAGGAGATATTGATCACTGAGGACCAGAGGGAGGTTTGGGTCAGACGCCACACAGTGGGTAAAACCAGAGGTACTGGCCCCCACGCAAAGGGCACCTGCAACAGGCTAAGAGCAGCCCTGAAGGAAATCTTGCCGGAGACAAGCGTGTGCAGAACCGTGCTGACTCGCTGCTTCCTGCACGGCGACGTGCACTTAGTACTTGGAGAGAAGTTTAAAGCCTTCCGATGTGCGTTTAAGGACCAAGAGAGGCAGGAGACCGAGGGAAGTTTCCTAAGTGCTCAGAGTGGGAGCATGTCTCGCTCAGATGGGCGGGGGTCGGCCTGAGGCGTGAGCCGAGCTGCCTCAGCTTTCTGCCGTAGGCAAGATCGATCGGGGCAGCGGATTAAGGAGGTGAGCCTCGGCACAAGCCCGAGGGGGAATCTCACTTCTGGGCAAACGCGTGCATGACTGGACTCCGTGTGAAACGTCGCGACGTGCTTTCAGCGCCCCAAGTAAAAAACCTTGTTCAGATTTCAGAAAAGTATGTGCGTGTCTCAGGTCTAGGGATTCGTGTGCATCCCAAAGTATCCACAAATCTGAACGTTTACTTTTAAGGTCTGGGCTCAATACATTTCAAAAGGGATCCCACATCTGGGCTTGAGTGCAAATTCTGAGTACACAAGGCACAGGCACCGCTGAGGCACGGGAAAGAACATCTGGTAGCACGTGTGCAAAACAAGGACCCCCCTCCACTCGCAGCTGTCCTCCCGTCACCCTCCTTCATTTCCAGATCCTCAGATCAGAGAAGAAACCAACTTTCCATTTGGCCGGCCGTCTGTCCTCCCGCCCCCCACCCCGAGTTAAAATCGGGCAGCGGTGTCAGCAGTAATTTGAGCCCATCCCACCCCCGTACCCCATCCCCCCCGACAGCCCGGCACGAACGCATAACAAAGGGGAGAGCCGGGCGCGCACCTGGGGGAACCGGTTCCGGCACGACCACCCTTCGGGCCACTGCGGACGCCCAGGACCGAGGGGACGCGGACAAAGGCGTGAGCTGGGCGAGGGGCGGCAAGGGCGGGGGCGGGGCCGAGGAAGGCTCTGGAAGAAGGGCGGGGGGCTCACCATGGGAGGGGCCGAGCGGGCCCGGATCCGCGGCGGCTGCGGGCCACTGGGGCAGGCGGGCCAGGAGCGCGAGCGCACAGCACGCACCACCAGCGGCCTCGG